CCTGTTGCAAAGCAGGAGGAAAGTAGAGCAGAAGAAGTGGAGTACTTATTTCTAGTCTTAATTCTAGCGGCAGAACAGGTTAGAAGATGATTATTTGATGTTATTTGTTTTTTTTTTTTTACATTCTACAGGCTTTGACAGGTTCAATTAATTTTAAACTGAGGTTTTGAAACTATTTGTGATTGCTCTTTATGTCTGTATGCCTGCAAAATGATGGAAAATCTGTGTAAATTACAGACAATTTGTACAACTTGACATCTATGTGAATGTTCACATTATATTTTAAATGGGACTTCCATCAGAACCCTGTGTGAACTCTAAATGTCACTGATTTATTTATTTATTTTTTAAAATAAATAAAATAAAATAATAAAATAAATGTCACTGATTTATTTATTTATTATTTTAAATAAATAAAATAAAATAATAAATTAAATGTCACTGATGCCAGCTGCACGTGCAGAAAATGACTTGACATCACATTAAGTTTGCTGTTTACAGAATTAGCTAAATGCCTATTTGCCTTTTTTTTCCTGTGGTTTGTTTTTTGGGAGGGGTTTGTTTCACTCAGCTCATTGTCCTGCTGTAAACTTGACTATATCACCTTTTGCTTTGCTTTGTATGTAAAAATATCTAACCTGCAGACACGTCTTGCCCCTTAAAACTAATAGGTTAAACCAAGAGGTGGTTTTCACCTTTATTGATTTGTTTATGGGCAGAAAAAAGCTTTAGTTATTCAATTTTTTACCAACTCATGACCAAAAGTTCAGTTGTTTATTTGGCTGTACAGTATTTAGAAAAATTGTATTTGGGAGTCCTTCTGTTACTTTGTCAAAGTAAACATTCATTGGTAAATTCTAAAAGCTGATGCTAACAAAAATTATCCACGGAGAGAGATCAATTTTTTACGTCCGTGGTGTCACAATAAACTGCCTGGTGAGTTCACGTTGAACTGTTTTGGAAGCTGATAAAGTTGAGAAGGGAGTCATTTGTGGATGAAATGGAGTCAAAAATTGAAGAGCGTCTCATGGAGGAGATTAGAAAACATAAAAACTTTGATAGGTCAGTGAAGGAATCTAAAGACTTTCAGCGAGCAACAAATTTATGGGAGAAAAAGCTCAGATCCTGAGTAAGTATTTTTTTCTTTTGTTGTTTTAAAGCTAAAATACAAACTCTCTTCCTCCTTGTCCCTGACATCATGACTGAAATAGCAAGAAATTAAAGAATTTGTCAGGTGGTCAGTACGCTCGAGTATGATGTCTCAGTCCTCCTTGGACAATAAGCACAGAGTCTGTGTAGTTCACGAACCACACACAGTACACCTGAATCTGTGGGAGCCTGCAGGGTCATGTTTCATGTTCTAGATTTACACTGCTCAAGGTGGCAGCATGTTGGAGTCGCTCTGTTTCATTAATTGTTTAATTCCTATTCTTGTGGATTAAAAAATGCTTTTTTTGATGACTTTTCACTTTGCTATTAGATGCTGTGCAGCTGGAAGGATTTTTTCAAACACCTATTTTGCTTTTGGACATTTACTATGATGCATAACCTTAGCAACATGGTAGTTTGTTATAACCAGCAGCAGCTGAATAACATCTCAAAACATCTCAACTACAGCCTCAACTGCAGCCCCAAATCCCAGATGAGGTAAAAAGAAAACACTGTGGATGTAGAGCAGGATCAATGAGGAGAGCAAATTTAAACCATCTCTTCCATCAATCATGATGGGAAATAGGAGATCATAGGGGATTAAGTTGGATGAACTCCAAGCCCTAACAAGAACCCAGTGTGAGGTTCGGGCAGGAACAGATCCAGGGCGCAGGCAGGCTCAAAAATATAACAAAAATTTATTTATAAATAACT